ATGGTCTTCTATTCCTATTTCTCTTTTTTCTCCTCAGTGGACCATTCCATTCCCATCTCCTCCTTCCCAACCATTTGCAAACACACACACACACACACACACACACACACACACGCACATGCACACATACATGCCTGGGCTCAGAAACATGAACTTCCACCCTCCAAGGCTGACCCACCTATGACCACTGCTGAGTGCCCATTCTGCTAACAGCAGAGACCAACACCAAGTCCTTGATGTTGCTCCATTTGCCAGGATGGTCAGTCAGCTCCCTTGTGACAGGGTGATTCCATTGGACAGCTTCCACTGCAGAGGGGACAATGTTTTGTTCTTACTGGAACAGATACTCTGGGTACAGATTGGCCCTCCCTGCATGCACTCCTCCTGTTGAAACTACCATCTGTGGACTTACAGTACCTCAGCTATTCCCATGCTGTTCCACATGGCATTACTTATCAGGGAATTCACTCCACAGCAACTGAAGTGTGGCAATGGGCCCCTGCTCATGGAATTCACTGATCTTACCATGTTCCCAGTCATCCTAGAACAATTAGTCTGAAAGAACTATAGAATGGCCTATAGAAAACTCAGTTACAGTGCCAGCTAGGATGCAATATCTTGAATGGCTGGGGCAATGTTCCCCAGAAGGTTGTATATGCCCTGAATTAGTATCTAATTTGTGATGCTGTTCTCTGATAGCCAGGATTTATGAGTCCAAGAATCAAGGGGTGGAAACGGAAGTGATACCACTTACCATTACCTCTAGTGACCCACTAAGTGCAATGTTTGCTTCCTGTTGCTGCTACTTTACATTCTGCTGGCCTAGAGAGCTTAGTTCCAGTGGGAGGAATCCTGCCACCAAAGACACAACAATGGTCCCATTGAACTGGAAGTTAAGACTGCCAACAGACCACTTTGGGCTCCTCATGCCTCTGAGTCAGCAGGCAAGGAGTGGGTTACAGAGTTGGTTGGGTTGACAGACCCATCCTGACCACCAAGGTGATCTGGACTGCTACTCCACAGTGGAGGTGAGGAAAAGTATGTCTGGAACATAGGAGGTCTCTTGGGGCATCTCTTAATATTCTCGTGCCTGTGTCTAAGGTTAATGGAAAACTATAACAACCCAATCTACTCAGGACTATGAATGGCCCAGACTCTTTGGGGATGAAGATTTGAGTTGCCCCGCCCAGGGGAAGAACTATAACCAGTTGAGGTGCCTGCTGGGAAAAAAAAAAAAAGAAATGCAGACTGGGCTGGATGCAGTGGCATACCTACCATCCAGCCACTCAGGAGGCTGAGGCAGGAGGATCTCAAATTCAAGGCCAGCCTCCGCAACTTAGACCCTGTCTCAAAATAAAAAATAAAAAGTGTTGGTCTGGGGATGTAGATCATTGGTAAAGCATTTCTAGGTTCAATCTCCAGTACCAAAAAAAAAAAAAAAAAGCAAAATAAAGATAAAAAGGACTGGGAATGTAGCTCAGTGATAAAGAGCTCCTGGGTTCAATCCCCAGTACAAGAAAAAAAATAAATAAAAAGAGAAGAAATACAGCCTGGGTAGTGGAAGGAGGTAGTTATGACTACCAGCTGTGACCACAAGACCAATTACAGAACTAAGGACTATTAGTGTCAGAAACATTTCCTCCTTATTTTTTCTGAATATGTTTGTGCATATATAGCAAATATCTTTTCTTCCTTTTTCTTTGGTACCAGGGATTGAAATCAGGGGCACTCTACCACTGAGCCACATCCCCAGCCCCATTTTGTATTTTTTTTTAAATTTAGAGATAGGGTCTCACTGAGTTGTTTAGCAGCTCCATTTTGCTGAGGCTGGCTTTGAACTCAGGATCCTCCTGCCTCGGCCTCCCAAACTGCTTGGATTGCAGGCATGTGCCACCATGCCTAGCTGTCTTTTATTTCTTACCTCTATTATTCCCTTAGTGTGTAATGTAAGATAGGTTGACTTTAAGTCTTGTTAAGTTTACATTACAATATTTAAATTGTGGGATATTAAAGAACAGTAAATATCGCTCAAGGACTTCACCTCCTCTTGTGGAGAAGGACTTGTGCATTCTCAGTTGTATGCAGGATAGTTGGATCATGTTAGGTAAAATGATGATGACCTTTTTATTGTTTTCATTTGGAGATTAAGTATGATTCAAGGAGAGGCATGTGAATGGCAAGTGGATAAGAGGTGAATTTTGATAGTTAGTTTGATGTTTCCACTTGACTGGGACACAGAGTTCTCTGATTAAACATTATTTCTGGGTGTGACTACCAGGCTGTTTCAGAAGGAGGTTAGCATTTGAATTGTGGATTGCAGATTGCTCTCCCAGTGTAAGAAGGCCTCTTCCAATCCTTTGACAGTTTGAATAGAACAAAAGGTGGAGGGAGGGGGAATTTGCTTGCTGCTTGACTGCTTGAGCTGGGAAGTGTCTTCAGCCCTCAACAGGGAGCTATCCATCAGCCCTCTTGTTCTCAGAACTACACCACCAGCTCTTGTGGGCCTGCAGCTTATCTGCAAAATGGCAGATTGTGGTACTTCTCAGCTCCCATAATTGTTAAGAGCCAATTCCTTATAATAAATCATATATTGGTTCTCTTTCTCCTATTGATTCTGTTCTCTGGAGAACCCTAATAATCCCCAGCAATTCCACTTGTACCTCTAACACTGAACACAAGTGCACATAGTCATGTACATGAACAGTGGGGGAAAACTGTGTGAAAGGCCAAAGATTTGTGCAACCTGAAGAGAAACATGAGTGGGAAAATCTGCTGAATGTCCATGTATAGTCCCTGATCATTGCAGAGTGAAATGAATGATGGGGGATAATGCTCTGCCATAGAGCACCCTCTTCATGTGATACAGAATAAATGGGACCTGAGTGTACCCATGGGACTGTGTGCCTTCTACAGGACACTATGTAAACGAGGAAAAGCCAGATAGGGGGTTGGTTGCTGTGACCATGTGTGCATGAGGGCACATACAAATGCTATGTAGGGAAAGTATCTAAAAGTAAACAGTGGTTATTTTGGAGGAGTGGGGGCAGGGATGCCCTGCATAGTCAATGTACTGATGTGCTGTTCAAATCTTTTATACAAACCTGTATTCGCCTGTATTATTTGTGCAACTCTTTTTAAAGGAAAATCCTATGCTTAATGTTCTCATATACAGAAGCTACAGCAAAATAAGGGGGAAAAGGGAGGCTGGGTATCATAAAGAGAGAAGGAATATCAATGGAGTTAAAGGAGATTGAGGAGGGAGCAGAGACAGGAAATGGGAGGAAATGCTAAATGCATTAACAGAATTATGCTCTGTGCATGTATAAATTTACCACAGTGAATTCCACCTTTTATATCTGTAAAGCACCAATTAAAAATATATAAATGGGTGCAAGTAGACTATTAGAGTAGAAGAAGGGGAATAGAGGGCAGGAGGAGAGAAGGGAAAGGGAAGCACTGGGACTGAAATGGATTAAATTAAACTCTATGCATATATGATTATATCAAAATGAAACCAACAATTATGTACAAATATAATGCCCCAATAACAGAAAAAAAAAACAATACCCACAGTGTGAAACATTTGTGTTGCAGGGGGGAGGATGTGTCTAGGAGGAAGAATCTCAAACTCATCTGTCCCAGGAACCAGACAGTTAACCTGTAAGAGCCAAGAATGCTCAGCTCAGGGTGAAGAGAATGGCAATGGGCCAGGTGAATGTTCTCTGACTCTCAACAGTGAAGGGGGAAGGTGGGGTGAGGGCTGAGTATGGATGGTGGATGGGGAAGACCCCAGATTTCGTGCCCCAGTAGAATTCAGAAACATCACACTCTGGGGCACAAAACTCTGGCTTTTTGTTTGTTTGTTTGTTTGTTTGTTTTTGCAGTGCTAGGATGGAACTCAAGGTCTCCAGCATGCCAGGCAAGTACTCTACCACTGAGCTACATCCCCAACCCCAGAACTCTGAATAACTTAGAAATCTTCACTTAGAAGCTGGATTTGGCAGCTTGTGCCTGTCATACCAACTGCTTGGGAGGTTGACTTGAACCCAGAAGTTCAGGGCCAGTCTAGTCAACATAGAATAAAACCTGTCTAAAACAAAACAAAACAAAAACAAGAGAAAAGAAATCTTTTTAAAAAATATTTTTTTAGTTGTAGTTGGACACAATACCTTTGTTTTATTTATTTATTTTTATGTGGTGCTGAGGATCAAACCCAGTGCCTCACATGTGCTAGGCGAGTGCTCTACCACTGAGCCACAACCCCAGCCCCTAGAAAAGAAATCTTGATTCAGACACAGAACCAATATAGAGTGGCCATACCCTAACTCAGACAGCTCATAACTCCACATGCTGGACACTGGCTCACATACAGATCAGAAGTATAGCCCTCTGGAGACAGCAACCCTAAATAGACAAGAGGCCTCCCAGCTGGGAATACTGGCCCCCTCAACCCTCAAATCTTTTTTTTTGTAACAGAGATTAAACCCAGGGGTGCTTAACCACTGAGCCACATCCACAGCCTTTTTAAATTTTCATTTTGAGAGAAGTTCTCGCTAAGTTGCTGAGGATCTCACTAAGTTGCTGAGGCGGGCCTTTGAACTTGAGATCCTCCTGTCTCAGCCTCCTGAGTCTCTGGGATGACAGGTGTACACCCCCATGCCTGGCTCCCTCATCACTTTTGGATAAGTGGTTTTTCTGTGTTATTGAGAAGGAACCCCTTACACATACACCTGGGTTTTACTTTCAAGGCTTTGAAGTTTCTTGGTTTGTTTTTCCAGTGTTGGGGATGGAACCCAGGGCCTCATGAAGCCCATGTTCTACCACTGAGCTACATCCTCAACCTCTCAAGACCCTAAGTTTTATGTCAGAGTCTTTGTACATGCACCACCTACTTCTGTCCCAACCAACAGTCAGTCTTCATTCTGCGCCCTCCCATTCTTGCCCATTGATCTCTGGGCACTAAGCCAGCGGGTTGTCTTGGAGGTGCTAGGGCAGGAACACCTACCCTGCCATGCTGCGCTGTCTGCTCTCCAGGCTGCCAGTCAGGATGTCCAGCAGGACTTCAGAAAATCAGGTGAATATGGTGGGCCCTGGAGTCCTAGGGAGTGGCTGTCGACACCCAGGCAGGCTGGGGCTCTCCCAGCCTGGGGCTGCTAATCTGCTTCTCTTCTTCTCTGTGGGCTCCCCTGTTGTGCCGTCCTCCATTTCCCTATGCTTCTCTCTTGCTTCTTTTTTCAAAGACAAGCAGAGGGCAGCAGAGGACCATGGAAAGGCCCTGCTCAAACCCACAGAGGATTCAAGTGACATGTCTGCAAGACAAACAGGCAGAGGTCTGGCTGCTCTGCCTGGGTGGTTCAGGGGGAGCCAGGTTAGTGTCAAGGACAGGTAGAGAGACCCAAAGGTGACTCATGGAGTGTGTCCCTGAATCTGTCCTGATAGAGCCCTATCAGAAAGGGCCAGGGAACAAAGCAATGACCTTGAGGTTTGCTAGAAGATTCTGAGACCTCTGATAGCCTAAAGGGGACATTGAAAAAGACTTCAAGACTTCAAGGAAGAGAAAAATCCTTTCCTGTGGAGAAGGCTAAAGGAAGGGGGATACTGTATTCTAGGTACTTTGACTATATCTATTTATAGAGCTGTTGTGAGAAGTAAAACGGGTTCTAGATTTCTTTCTTCATTTTCAGTACTGGGAATTTAATCCAGAACCTCACACACGTATACAAGTGCTTTGTCACTGAGCCACATCCCCATTCCCAAAATTTTTTAAGTACTATAGATAGAACTCAGAGTCTCACACATATTAACACATATTACAGAAGTGCTCTACCACAGAGCTATATCTCTGCCCCTCTGTATAGTTTTTCTTTTCTTTTCTTTCTTTCTTTTTTTTTTTTTTTTTTTTTTTTTTTGTATTTGCAATTGAACCCAGGGATACTGGTACTGAGCTACATTCCCAGTCCTTTTTATTTTGAGAGAGGGCCTTGCTAAATTGCTGAGGTTAGCCTCAAATTGGCCATCCTCCTGCCTCATCCTCTTGAGTTGGCTGGATTTAGAAGTGTGTGCTACCAGTCCTGGTCCATATTCTTTTTTAAAAATATATATTTTTAATATATTTTAGTTGTAAATGGAGAAAATACCTTTATTTATTTATCTTTATGTGGTGCTGAGGATTGAACCCAGAGTCTCACCCATGCTAGGTGAGTGATCTACCACTGAGCCACAGCCCCAGATCCCCATATTCTTTTTTTAATACTTTTTTTAGTTGCTGATAGGCCTTTATTTCATTTATTTACTTATATGTGATGCTGAGAATCGAACCCAGTGCCTCACACATTCTAGGCAAGTGCTCTATCACTGAGCCACAACCCCAGCCCCTCATATTCTTTTTGATAAGTGCTTAAAACAGGGGTCAGCACACAGTAAACCTTATATAATCACTCTGTCTTGATCTTCTGTTTTTTCATTTATTCCTTTGTTTTGGTTATGTTTTTGGTTCTGAGGAGAGAACACAGGGTCTGACACATGCTAGGCAAACTTTCTACTGAGCTATACCCTCAGTCCTCATCATCTTTTTATAAAACTGAGCTCTAGGCCTGGGGCTGTAGCTCAGAGTCAGAGCACTTGCCTAGCAGGTGTGAGGCACTGGGTTCAATCCTCAGCACTGCATTAAAATAAATTAATATACAAAAATATTATGTCCATGTACAACTAAAAAATTTTCAAAAAAAGTTTGGTTCTTTGAAAAGATTAATGAGATATTAGCAATTTTTGTTTTCTCTCCAAAAATTAAGAGAAACATGAATTATCCATATCAGGAAAGTATATGGGGCACTCTTACAGATTCTACAGACACTGAAGGGTTAATAAGACTTTTTGAACATATAACTTTATTTTCAATGGAATCCAAATGTCAGTCATTTACTTCTTGTGCTGCTTCTGTGTTCATTTGGATCCTCTGTATTTATGAAGAGAGCAGAACTCAGCAACTTTGCTAATGCCTCCTCCACTTATGAAATAGAACTACACAGGATGTTTTAGCTGGGGCTCAGTGAAATCAATTGTTTCGAATGTACTGGTTTGAATGGAATTAAACACGGTGGGATGGAAAACAATAAAATAGTGTCAAGTAGAATTTAATGGAACAGAATCGAATCCAATAGAACAGAATGGAAAGGAAGACAATGAAATGGAATAGAATAGAATAGAATAGAATAGAATAGAATAGAATAGAATAGAATAGAATAGAATAGAATATATCAGTCAAACTTTGTATCAAGAACTGGAAATAGGGCTGGGGTGGTGGCTCAGTAGTAGAGCGTTTGCCTAGCATGTGTGAGGCACTGAGTTCAATTCTCAACACCACATATAAGTAAACAGATAAATAAATAAAGGTTTAGCAATGACTAAAAAACTACTTAAAAAAAGAACTGGAGGGCTAGGGTTCTAGGGTTGTAGCTCAGTGGTAGAGCACTCACCTAGCATTTGCCAGGCCCTGGGTTCGTACTCAGCACCACATAAAAATAAATAAAATAAAGGTATTGTGTCCACCTACAACTAATATATATATATATATATATATATATATATATATATATATATATATATATATATATATATATATATATATATTTAAAAACTATTTTTAAAAAGTAAAGAGTGAAGAATGGGCATGACAGACACATAGAATCTTATGAATCCATGCATGTATCCATTAGACTCTACTGACATTTTCCTTTGGGATTCTCCCTTTGAAATGGGGGTGGAAGTAATGCAGGGGGTGGGGGGGAGGCAGAAAACATGAGAGTCGTCAGTGGCAATGTGGTTTCACCTGACATTTTTTTTACCTTTTAGTCAAGGAGGGACAGCTCTCAGACCCCTTCCCGGTGTCTTATCCATAGACTTGACCACATCGTGATGACAGTGAAGAGCATCAAAGATACCACTATGTTCTATTCGAAGATCCTGGGCATGGAGGTCATCACTTTCAAGGTAACCATTTCCCCACACGCCAAATTGCAGGTGGATTAAACTTTAATGATAACACCTTAACATACAACTTAAGGGCTGGGGGTATAGCTCAGAGGTAGAGTGCTTGCCTAGCATGTGCAAGGCCCTGAGTTCCATCCCCAGCACCTCAAAAAGGTGGGTAAAATTTAGCTTAACTCCAAAAACAAAATCACAGGAAATTTGAAGCAAAGATAAAAAGACCAATGAATAGGGGGATTTCCAGAAAATGGAGAAAAAAGAGGGGAGGAAATTATCATGGAAATAATGCAAGAGTTATGTACAACTATAATGCACTGATTTTTAAAAAGTGGGAAAAATAATGTTCTGGCCTTGGCACATGCTTGTAATCCCAGCTGCTGGGGAGGCTGAGGCAGGAGAATTGCAAGTTCAAAGCCAGCCTCAGCAATTTAAGGAGGCTCTAAACAACTTAGCAAGACTCTGCCTCAAAATAAATAAATAAATAAATAAGGGCTGGGGTTGTGGCTCAGTGGTAGAGCACTCGCCTTGCACATGTGAGACCCTTGGTTCAATCCTCAGCACCACACTAAAAATAAATAAATAAATATACTAAAAAAATTAAAGCCTGGGGATATGGATCAGTGGTTAAGTACCTCTGTTACCAAAAAAAAAAAAAGTAAAAATAAAAGAAAGAAAGGAAGAGAAAAGAATAAAAAAGAAAAAAAGGAAAGAAGGAGAGGAAAAAAAAGAACACAAGAGAACACTGCAGTCTTTATATACAAAGAGTTAAGTAAGTATCCAGCACATCAATACTTAGATACATTTGATAGAATTGTAGAACATCAATTTGTAAAATGAGATCCTAAGAGCTTTCTAACTCATCTAAAAAGAAAAAGAAACATTCAAATATCTAATTTCCTGAGTCCTACTGGAGACCAGAAGATAATAAAGGAAGGTCACCTTCAGGATTCTGGAAAAGGGACTGGAATTGTAGCTCATTAGAGGAGCACTTGCCTAGCACATGGGAGGTACTGGATTGGATCCTCAGCACCACATAAAACTAAATAAATAAAATAAAGGTACTGTGTCCATCTACAGCTTTAAACAATTGTGAGGCTATTTGCTCCTATTAAATGTTTTTTTCCTTAAAGATTCTGGGGACATATTTTCAATCCTAGAATTCTATGTCCAGCAAAACTGTTAACCAAAGATAAGTGTAGAATAAAGCATTCTTAAATGTTTCAAAAAAATCTGCCCATTAGGAAACTGGGGCTCAGTGGTAGAGCTCATGCCTAGCACTCACAGGATCCTGAGCTCCATCCTCAGCACTAAAAATCAAACAAAATGAGCAATTAAGTTGGGAATAAGGAAGACACAGAAATCAGGTTACCATGGTTCCCAAGAGGAAGATTCCAGAAAGAATCTTAGAAAACCATCAGTCCTGTTCTAAACAGAACCAAGAAAGATCCCAAGAAGGAGAAATCCAGGGGAAAATAGAGGTTTCTAGAGATGAATACTATCCTGAGAATTTGTAAAAACTTCAAAAGTGGTAAATGCAGGGGCTGGGGTTGTGGGTTAGTGGTAGAGCACTTGCCTTGCACATGTGAGGCACTGCTTTGATCCCCAGCACCACATAAAAATACTAAATAAACAAAAATAAAGGTATTGTGCCCATCTACAATTAAAAATTATTTTTAATAATCTTTTTTTTTAAATAAATATTTTTTAATATTTAGTTTTTAGGCAGACACAACATCTTTGTTTGTATGTGGTGCTGAGGCTTGAGCCACATCCCCAGCCCTAAAAATTATTTTTAAAAAGTGTGGTAGGACTAAGGTTGTGGCTCAGTGGTAGAGTGCTTGCCTGGCATGTGTGAGGTACTAGGTTCAATTTTCAGCACCACATATAAATAAATGAACAAAGTAAAGGCCCATTTAAAAAAATAAACGAATCTCTTTTTTAAAAAGTGGCAAATGCAGAGAAAGGAAAACATAAGTGTCCTGCCAAGATGTTCCTTCAGCAGATGAATGGATAAACTGAGGTATGTCCAGATAATGAAATATCATACAGTTATAAAGAGAAATGAAGCTGGGCAATGTGGTGCACTTCTATTATCCCAGTACCTCAAGAGGGTAAGGCAGGAGGATCACAAGTTCAAGGCCAGCCTCATCAATTGAGTGAGACCCTGTCTCAAAATAATAGATAGATAGATAGATAGATAGATAGATAGATAGATAGATAGATTGATTTTAAAAAAGGGCTTGCAATGTAGCTCAGTGGTAGAGGGCTCACCTAACATGTGTAAGGACTTGGGTTCAATCTTAAACACCACAAAAATTACATCTATATCTATATATCATGCTGGGCTGGGGATATAGCTCAGTGGTATGGTGCTCACCTAGCAAACTGAAGACTCTGGGTCTGTTTGCTGGTACCACACAGAAACAAAATCATGCTGAATAAATAAATGAAGGGGCTGGGGTTGTGGCTCAGTGGTAGAGTGCTCGCCTCAAATGTAAGAGACCCTGGGTTCCATCCTCAGCACCACATAAAAATAAATAAACAAAATAAAGATATTATGTCCATATATAACTAAAAAAAATTTTTTTTAAAATGAACAGAAGAAGGTCTCACCTCATGGAACCATTTATAATACCCACACAAAATAATAATACACTTTTATTTTGTGACATTGGGAATTGAACCTAAGGCCTTACATATGCCAGGCAAGGCATTTGATCACTGAGCCACATCCCCAGCCCAACAATAATGTACTTTTTTTCAGGAAGAGGTACTGGGGATTGAACTCAGGCACACTTGACCACTGAGTCACACCCCAGCCCTATTTTGTATTTTAATTAGAGACAGGGTCTCACTGAGTTGCTCAGCACCTCACTGCTGCTGAGGCTGGCTTTGAACTCACAATCCTCTTGCCTCAGACTCCTGAGCCGCTGGGATTACAGGTGTGCACCACTGTGCCCAGCCAGTAATGCACTTTTTACAATAACTTATGAAAATCAAAGGATGCATACTAAATACATTTATAATGGTTGCCTAAAGTAGGGACAGGAATAGAGAATAGAGAAAAAATGCATTAAGGAAATGACATGGGCTTTGCAAGGACCAGTGATGACAATAGTATATATAATGCCTCAACTCCCTATACTCAAGACACATTGGAGTGAAATTTCAGAACATCTAGGGCCAATAAAAATTCTACAAGCTGCAGGAGTGGAAGGTGACAAAAAAATGAAAAACGGAATAACATCAGACTTCTTATCAGCAACACCAGATTCAGGGAAGAAAATGAAGCAATATATTTAAAAGGCTGTGGGGAAAAAAACCCTCAACTTAGAATTGCATACTGGAACAAATTATCATTCAATGGTAAAAGTGAAATAAATTCATTTTCTGATAGAATGTATGTGGTATCAAACATGATGATAAAAAAGGAAGAGAAATGGCAGACGCTGAGAGGTACAAGAGAGGATGGAGACATGAAAAAGACTACAGGGTGATGTGGGTTATCTATCAAAAAACAAACATATTTCTTAGCACTACAAAAAATAATACCAAAAATATTCAACTGGGTTATTTAAAAATTATAAAGGAGGGCTGGGGTTGTGGCTCCATGGTAGAGCACTTGCCTAGCATGTGTGAGGCACTGAGTTCCATCCTCAGTGCCACATGACAATAAATAAATAAAATAAAGACATTGTGTCCATCCACAATTAAATTTAAAAAAAAAAATTATAAAGAACCAAAAGAAGAATTAAACATGATGATAGAATTCTGTTGGGAGGGATAGTAATGTGTATGAGCTAAATTCTCATTTATCATAGCAGAGAGATGATAAAAACTATCTAAAGTCACTAAATCGAGAAATAGTAGTGCTCCCAGCAGCTTGGAAGGCTGAAGCAGGAGGATCACAAGTTTAAAGCCAGTCTCTGCATATTAGGCAAGGCCCTAAGCAACTTACTTAGCAAGATCCTGTCTCAAAATACAAAAATAAAAAGTAAAATAAAGCAAAAGGTCTGGGGCTACATCTCAGTGGTTAAGTGCTTCTAAGTATGATCCCTGGTACCAAAAAAAATAAAAAAATAAAAATAAAAAATAAAAAGCAGTTCATCAGGGATTGTGTTTGGAGGTGTATGGGAGAAAACTCAACTAATTTAGAGTTACATTAGAAAGTTTTCTTTTTCTTTCATTGAACAAGCAGTCAGGAGTAGGCAGTCAGAACTCAGGCAGTGGTTGGGAAGGAGGAAATGAATGGGCACAAAAGTGCCAGCTCAATAGGGCGGAAAGGTTCTCAGAAGCCCCACCCACAACCATCTCATGGCCCAGTACAGCTAACATGGCCTCCCTTACATGATGACCCCTTCAGCAAAGAATGCTGGGAAATGTAGGGGAGTTTTTTTTGTTTGTTTTTTGTTTTTGGTTTTTTGGTTTTTTTTTTTTTTTTTTTAGTTTTAAAGCCCAGTACACAGTGACTCCATCAGAATTTGGATTTTGTTTGTAAGGAAAAAAAAAAAAAGGATAACTTGGGAGGTTGGATCTCTGAGAAGGATCACTTGAGCCCAGGAATTCAGGGCCAGACTGGACAACAGAATGAGATCCTGACTCTTCCTTAAAAAAAGAAAACTCTGCCTTTAATCCTAGCTACTCGGAAGGCTGAGGAGGAGGATGATTGCAAGTTTGAGTCCAGCCTGGGAAACTGAATGAGATCCTGTCTCAGAAAGAAGAAGGGCTGGTGCCAAGTGTGGTGGCTCACTTTTCTAATCCCAGAGAATCAGAGGCTAAGGCAGGAGGATCACAAGTTTGAGGCCAGCCTCAGCAATTTAGGGAGACCCTCAGTAACTTCATGAGACCCTATCTCAAAATAAAAAAAAAATAGAAAGGGTTGGGGGTGTAGGTCAGTGGTACAACTCTTTCATAGCATATGCCAGGTTCTGGGTTCAATACCCAATACAGAAAAAAAGGTGGGAATGTATACTGAGTAGGCAAACTGCTATTTCTGCCATGGGTAGTGTTAGCACAAAGAGTCCGGACCGGACACAAGCTTCATGGATCATTTCAGCCTTTTATTCAGGAAAGGGACTACACCTATGGGAATGGACTCACTTTCCTGGTGGAAAATGAGCCATTAACAAAGGAGGGGACTGGGCTTATACAGGTTGTGGGTAATTTAGTGAGCATGTCCATTTGGGCACTCAGAAATTTGAGTTTTGGCATTGGGAGTCGGTGGCCAGCACCTGGAAAGGAGTTATCTTGGAAGAGATTAGTGTTTTCTTTTTATTTCCCTTTTTAATATTTTTTTAGTTATACATGGACACGGTATCTTTATTTTGTTTGTTTACTTATATGTGGTGCTGAGGATCCAACTCAGTGCCTCACATGTGCGAGGCAAGCACTCTGCCACTGAGCCACAACCCCAGCTGGAGATTAGTGGTTTTCTAGAGATTATCATTCTAGGTTTGATGAAACACTTTCTCCTCGCCTGTGGCCAGCATCTGAAAAGGATTTAACTTGAAAGAGATGAAAGTTATCCATGTATGGTTTTCTTTTTCATTCCCTTTTCCCAGGTTTCACTATTTGGGGGTTTTTCGGGTGGTATAAACATATTGTTTAGAGACAGGGAAATAATTTCAGGAAGAAACAAACACATAAAATGTGCACACATATTAGAAGCAGTTGCCTCTAGGGGTAAGACTGGGGTGGTGTAAGGGGATGTTGTTTAGTTAGCCCTGTTTTACTTTAAAAAAAAATTCCTTGGGGTGGGGGTCAGACTTTCAGATTTTAGCTCCCACTCATCTCTTTCTTTCATTCTTTTTTCCTTTTCTTTCTTGGTGCTGGGGATTGAAACCCCCACATGCTAGGCAAGGGCTCTATAACGGAACTATACCCCCAGTCCTTTATTTTTATATTTTATTTTGAGGCAGAGCCTCACTAAGTTTCTGAATCTGGCCTCAAACCTGTGATCCTCCTGCCTCAGCCTCCTGAGTGGCTGGGATTTCAGGTGTGCACCACCACACTGGGTTTGGAACTTTAGTTTTAGGTTGTTTTCTCTTCCTCAAATAGGGAGACAGAAAAGCATTGTGCTTTGGAGACCAAAAATTTAACCTCCATGAGGTGGGAAAGGAATTTGAACCCAAAGCTGCTCATCCTGTTCCAGGCTCCCTGGACTTATGTCTGATCACAGAGGTGCCTTTGGAGGAGATGATCCAGCATCTAAAGGTGAGTGGGACTTCATTCTTCTTGATAAAACCACTGCAGATGCCATAAAAATGGAAGCTTGACTCGGGGAGATCTTCAAACCTCTAACATGACCCGTTTCTACACAATCATCCACTCATTTTGATTGACATCATTGTTTCATGTAACCAGATGGATTTAAAAATGAAACTTCAGGGCTAGGGTTGTGGTTGAGTGGTAGAGCACTTGCCTAGCATGAGTGAGGCACTGAATTCGATCCTCAGCATCATATAAAAATAAACAAATAAATAAAGGTATTGTGTCCATCTACAACTAAAAATTTTTAAATGAAATTTCATATCACCATTTGTAAGTATATATATATATATATATATATATATATATATATATCTGAGACTGGGGCTGTGGCTCTGTGGTGGAGCACTTGCCTAGCATGTGTGAGGCACTGGGTTTGATCCTCAGCACCACATAAAAATAAGTAAATAAATAAATAAATAAAGGTCTATCTACAACTAAAAAAAATTAAATGTATATCTGAGTTATTTTACGTAAACATGTTTACATAAAAAGAAAACGTTCTACCAACTACATGAAAAATCCATTATATGTAGTCATAAAGGGAAAGTAATTGTAAAAGCCAACAGCTATAGGGCTGGGAGTGTGGCTCAGTAGCATGACACTTTCCTAGCCCCGAGTTCCATCCCCAGCACTGAGAGAGAGAGGGAGAGGGAGAGAGAGAGAGAGAGACAGACAGACAGACAGACACTCTTGCCTAGACTGCCTAGGTATGAATTCTGGCTCTGTTACTTATTAGATCATACTAGATACTTTTTTTTTCCTTTTTGTACTTGGGATTGAACCCAGGGGTAGGTACTATACCACTGAACTATGCCTTTAGTCCTTTTTATTTTATTTTACTTTTATTTTTATTTTGGGGGATTACCAGGGATTGAACTCAGGGGCAGTCGACTACTGAGCCATGTATCCACCCCTATTTTGTATTTTATTTACAGACAGGGTCTCATTGAGTTGCTTAGTGCTTCACTTTTGATGAGGCTGGTTTTGAACTCTTGATTCTCCTGCCTCAGCCTTCTGAGCCACTGGGATTACAGGTGTGCATAACCATATCCAGCTAGTTTATTCTTATTTGGAGACAGGGTCTTGCTAAGTTGCCCAGGCTGGCCTTAAACTTTTGATCCTCCTGCCTCAGCCTCTGGAGTTGCTCGTATTACAGAATTGTGCCACCATGCCTGGCCATACTAGGTACCATTATTGTCCCCATTTTACAGATGAGAAAACTGACATACAGGTCAATTAGTTGCTCTACCCAAGGCCATACAACTTAACAGGGTTAATGAATGAAGAATGGCAGAAAATGAGGTGAGAAAATACAGAGGTGTTCTATATGCTTCTAAGGTAGTATTAGGAATTGAATTTTAGTTTTTCACATTGACTATGACATATGAACTTTGTCTTCTCTTCCCACTTTAGGCTTGTGATGTCCCCATTGAGGAGGGGCCAGTCCCCAGAACAGGAGCAAAGGGGCCTATTATGTCTGTCTACTTCCGAGACCCAGACAGAAATCTAATTGAGGTGTCCAACTATGTCTCCTTGTGATTGATACTGGTCCTCGGCCATTTTGTTTCCCTCCGTGTTACCTTCTCCCTTCCTTCCCCAAAATCCTTGCCCAGGCCCAGAGACCTTCATGGACTGAGGACTTCAGCAGTTCACACATCCTGTTGAGGGCATGTGAGACAGGTGTGGGACCAAACGTACATGTCTGGATGATCTTCATTCAAGCTGTGCCAAAAAAAAAAAAAAAAATGGATAATCCCACCACAGTAGCTCATTGTTCTTTTTGTCTCACCACTTCACCTGGGGTTTGTCTAGGATATGAGTTTTCTAAACTCTTTAGAGGTCCATGACTGGTTAAGACATCTCTGAGGACCAAATGCAGGTCTTTTCCTTGGGATTCAAAACCTCTGACAGATTTCTACTTGTCTGTGATTCATCCTTCTTCCTCCTTATCTGACTTGCCTCATTCCTCTGACTTTTTTTTCCCTTCACCCTATGGGCCTCACTGAACCTCCGGATCTATATAATTCCTATGAGATCTTCCAGGACCAGCCCAGATGATGCACCTTCTCCTGGAGAGACTTCTCTGGTCTCACTCTCAGGGCATCTAGCACTTTCTCCCTTATTGAGACTTAGCTGCTGACTGAGTATATGGGATAAGGTCAAATTCCTTCTGTTTCTGTCCCCCCACCACTGCCACACCTTTTACTCATTTAGTCAACTAAAACACATATATTGAGCATCTATTGTGTGGTGGGTCCTGTCCTAGGCATTAGAGAGATGGTGTTGAACAAAAAGGATAAGTATATCTATGCTTGTGGTGCTGCCATTCAAGTGGGAGAGATAGAAAATCAGTAAAATTAAAAAGGTATTGGTGGGCTGGGGCTGTAGATCTTTGGTAGAGTGCTTGCTTAGCATATGTAGGGCATAGGATGGGATTCTCAGCACCACATATAAATAAATAAATAATCAATAAAATAAAGGTCCACTGACATCTAAAAAAATATTTTTAAAAAAGGGTGTTTGGAAGAGAGGACTAGAGAAAGGATGGTTAATGAGTATAGAGGTGCAGTTATATAAGAGGAACAACTTCTAAGTTTTTAAAAAATATTTTGTTATTTTAGTTGTAGTTGGAACAATGCCTTTATTTTATTTATTTATTTTTATGTGGTGCTGAGGATCAAACCCAGCATCCCACACATGTTTGGCAAGCACTCTACCACTGAGCCACAATCTCAGCCCCAACTTCTAAGTTTCCATAGCACAGTACGTTTGGCAACAATTAATTGAATTTTTTCAATGTTCTCAACATATAGAAATAATCTACGTCTGGGATAATAGACATGCCAATTGCCTTGATCTGATCATTACACATTGTGTACATGTCTTGAAATGTCATACTGTATCTCATCAATATGTATAATTATTCTGTTGATTTCTAAGAAATATTAATTAATTAAAAAGAAAGAGAAAAATAACTAAGATATTAGATATGCTAGAGACCAATAAATACTTTGGAGAAAAAGAAAACATGGAGGTTAGCAGTATAGTTCAGTGGTAGAGTGAATGCTGAGCACATACAAGGCCCTGGATTTCTTCTTCTTTTTTTTTTTTTAATATTTATTTTTTAGTTCTCAGCGGACACAACATCTTTGTTGGTATGTGGTGCTGAGGATCGAACCCAGGCCGCACGCATGCCAGGCGAGCGCGCTACCGCTTGAGCCACATCCCCAGCCCCTGGATCTCTTCTTTAGCACTAAAAGAAAACACCGAAAAGAGGGGATGCTGATAAACATTGCTGGAGCAGTTTACAATGTTTAATGGGATTGTCCAGGAAAGCCTGACTGAAGAGACATTTGAATACAGACCTGAAGACTTGAGGGATAAACCACATAGCTACCCAGAGGAAGAATGCACCAAGCTGAATAGGCAGTACAAAGGCCCTGAGGCAGGAATGGATGTGGTGTGCACGTGAGGAACAGCTAGAGAGGGGCACAGTAGGAGGAGTGAGAGAGAAAGTTTGGGTAGGGCCTCGTGGACCAAGGTGAAGACTTTGGCTTTTATTCTGAGTGAGTGGAGCCATGGGAGGGTCCTGAGCAGAGGAAAGTTATCTGATCCAGGTTTAACAGGCTCCTGCAGGCTACTAGAGGGAAACTAGACTGTCAGGGAAGGGCAGAAGCAGGGGTGCCAAGAAGGAGGAGGCCACCGCAGTGGTCCTTGTGAGCCATGAAGGTGGTGGCAGAGTAGGTGGGAAAAAAGGTGATTAGACTCTGGCAGTAATTTGAAAATAGGGACTGAATGAGTTCATCAAGCAAAAATGTCAGCTAAAGAAGCCTGAGCACCTTTAGAGGTTTGAAACAAGATGAGGTTCAGGCAAGGAGGAAGGGGAAGTGTACAGATGGATTCCTAAATGAATATATGATGGATGAAAGAACATGTGTGAGAGTCTCTTGAAGTAAAGAGGCCCTTAATCTTGTGAACTCTGGTCTCTAAATACTCTCCAGCTGGATCCTATGAGTGAACTCCCAGGGACCCCCCCCCCACCAAAATGCTATAAAGAATGGAAATGTGAGAATAGAAGCTTTGGCACATAAAGGGCTTTGCCAAAAACTGTAGTAAGTTTCCTGTCCAATTTTAAAAGACAGCTTGCCTTGGATCCAAAAATTATAAGCCTGGAGATAAATGATTTACAGAAGGAAGAGAAGGAAAGAGGGAGAGAGGGAGGAAAGGGAGAATGAATGGGCAAATGGGTGGATGGATGAATGCATGGGTGGAAAAGGAGATGGATAGATGGGTAGAGATGGGTACTGTTAGATTTCTATTGCTGTGACAAATACCTGAGATAAATCAGGTATTAAAAGGAGGAAAGATTTATTGTGGATCACAGTTTCAGAGGTTTCAGTCCATGGTCATTTATCCTGGTTGCTTTGGGCCTATGGCAGCATAGCACATCCTGGCAAGAGCATGTGGTGGAGGAAAACTGTTCACTTCATGACTGCTGGGAAGCAAAAGACAGAGAGGAAGGGGCCAGGGTCCCAACATCTCCTTCAAGGGTAGGCCCCCAGTGACTACTAGGCCCCACCTCATAAAGGTTCCACAACCTTCAAATGGACCCAGCTGTTAAAAGCTTGGTTGCTTTTAGGCCAGGTGTGGTGGCACACACCTGTAATTCCAGCATCTTGGGAGGCTGAGGCAGGATCATCAGTTCAAAGCCAGCCTCGGCAACTCAGTGAAGCCCTAAGCAACTCAGAGGGACTTGTCTCAAAATAAAATGTAAAAAGGGGCTGGGGAGGGGCTGTGGCTGTGGCTCAGTGGTAGAGCACTCGCCTAGCATGTGCGAGGTGCTGGGTTCAAACCTCAGCACCACATAAAAATAAATACATAAAATAAAGATATTGTGTCCAACTACAATAAAAAAATATTTTAAAAAGGGCTGGGGATGTGTCTCAGTGGTTAAGTGTCCCTGGGTTCAATCTCTGGTACTGAAAAAAAAAAAAGCTTGGTTGCTTTTAACTTTGGGGGATACTCTAGACACAAATTATAAAAAATGGATTAAATGAAGTGTGGTATATTAAGTCAATGAATTATTACTTAGCAATAAAATAGAATGAGCTTAAGAGGCCAACATTATTCTGATAAGAAAATCAAAGACATGGGCTGAGGCTGTGGCTCAGTGGTAGAGCACTTGCCTCACACATGTGAGGCACTGGGTTTGATACTCAGCACCACGTAAAAATAAAGAAACAGGGGCTGGGGATGTGGCTCAAGCGGTAGCGCGCTCGCCTGGCATGCGTGCGGCCCGGGTTCGCTCCTCAGCACCACATACCAACAAAGATGTTGTGTCTGCCAAAAACTAAAAAATAAATATTAAAATTCTTTCTCTCTCTCCTCTCTCACTCTCTCTTTAAAAAAAATAAAGAAACAAAATAAAGATATTGCATTCATCTATAACTAAAAAATATTTTTTTAAATAAGAAAATCAAAGACATGACAAGAAAACTATAGCCTGATATCTCTTTTAAATATAGGTGCAAAATCCTCAACAATTACAAATAAATAGAATCCAGCAACATATAAAAAGATTATCCATCATAATCAAGTAGAACTTATCCCATAAATGCAAAGTTGGGTCACCATATTAATAGAATAAAGGACAAACAGCACATGACAAAAACCCCTCTATGATATAAACACACTCAACAACCAGAAATAGACGAGAACTTCCTCAACATGATAAAGGGTATCTACAGAAAACCCACAACTAACATCACACTCCATAATGAAAGACTGAAACCTTCCCCCAAAGATCAGGAACTACACAAGGAGGTCCCTGATCACCACTTCTATTCAACATCAAACTAGAGGTTCTAGCCAGGGCAATTAGGCAAGAAAAAGAAATCAAAGACATCCACGGGCTGGGGTAGTGGCTCAGCAGCAGAGCACTTGCCTATCATGTGTGAGGCACTGGGTTCAATCCTCAACACCACATATGAATAAAGACATAAAATAGAGGTCCATCAACTAAAAAAACAAACAGTATATAGCTATATAAATCAAAGACATCCAGATTTGAAAAGAAGTAATTAAAACTATCTCTATTTGAGAGGACATGATTTTGTACTTTGAAAATCTTAAGGAATACAACAAAGCCAGTAGAACTCCATTAGTATTTAAACCCAGCAAGGATGCAAGAGACAAGATTTTGTATGAGGCAAGACACAAGGTTTTGTATGAGACAAGATCATACAAAAACTTAATCATAACATGGACGAGGCAGAGCATGCCTGTGATCCCAGGGAGTCCAAGGCAGGAAGATCACAAGTTCAAAGCCAGACTCAGCAACTAAATGAGGCCCTAAGCAACCTAGTGAGACCCTGTCTCTAAATAAAAAATAAAAAATAGGACTGGGGATGTGGCTCAGTGGCTAAGCACCCTTGGGTTCAATCCCTGGTACTAAAATTGAAAAATAAGAGATATTATTGGATTAAGCATAATCTTATTCTTAGGTCCTATATTGGCTGAGCTAAATTTATAGCTTGTAG